CATTTGGCTGGCTCGGCATGCAGGCTGAACAGCAGCGCGCCGTGCGCCCCCCGCTTGCAGCTGCCATCTCGCCCTCAACCCATGCAATCCCCTCGTCTTCACTTGCTCTGCAGTCATACTTCTTCTTCTGACCCCAAGCACCCAAGCCGCCTCCCGCACGCCTGGCGGCCAGCCCGCCCCCGTCAAGCGCACCACCTCCACACAGCTTGGCAGTGCGCCACATGGCGAAGACACCGTTGCAGGCTTCAAGCGCGTGCCTTTGGCCTTTGGGGGCGCCACCTCGACCGTCGTCGGCTCCGCCGCGGCTGACGGCCAAGCCGGCGGCGGCACCTCTGCATCGCCCAGGCGGGGCTCGTGGCGCCGCACCGTGCTGGGGGAGCACGCGGCTGCGGCCCAGAGCGCGACCACGGCCAGTGCTGGCCGCGGCCGCACCTCAAGCAGCTCTGCCCTGCTGGCCGGCCCTGACCCTGCCACGAGCTTTGTCGCCGCGTTGCCCGCCGACGACGGCGGCGCCCTTGCCCCCTAACAGGGCGGCACGCACATGCCAACACTGTTGGAATCGGACACGCAGGGGCAGTGCCGCAGTCATTGCTATTGTCTTATTTGCGCCGCTGGGCTCTTGTCCCACTGTGAATCGCCAGCACTGCGGCCCAGCAGCCCAGCCCTCCTCTTTGCAGCACGATGAAAGCAAACATCGGTGCGCAGTGAACCCACAGCGATCGTATGCCCACCGCGTGCTCGCGTGATTGAACATGCACGCGCGCTTGTACTTGTACAACAGAATCAATCCGCCACGCGTTGGCAGAACCCCCTTGGCGCTGCAGCGCGGCATTGGCTCTGTTCATTCTGAACACCGTGCAGTCACCTGCCGCTATGCACGTGCTTGTTCTTATTTGGATGTAACGCGCATCGCTGCTCGCCGCGGCCACCTGGCCCGCCGCATCTGTGGGGCTCGACCAAAAGCCCAGGCGCACTGGCGGGGCATGGGCTCCGCGCCATCAGGCGGGTTGGCGCAGAGCGTGAACAGCCGCCAAACCTAAAAAGAGCAGGAAGGGCACAAGGCGCGGGATGCGCCCGCTCGACCAAGAGGCTAATAAGGGATTGATTATTGCCTGCTTGCTGCCATGAAAGTAGCGAGGTGGCATTGCTATTGTGGCAGCCCTTTCTTGTACCATTTGTGTGCAAATCTTACAAGCCTGGGTGGCTCCAGCAGCAGGCGACTGCAAGATCCTGTAACCCTTTCCTGATGCAAACCGGCCAACTGACACCTTCGCCGGATCCTGTTGCGGTTCTAGCAATTAGCGCGCAGTGGGCAGTGGGCAGTTGGGGCTCAGGGGGCTGGGCCATAGCCGATACGCCCCGGCAGCACCTGCAAACCGGCCCAGACAACCCGCCGCGGCGCTGGGGTGCGTGCGTGCGCGCGCTGGGCGGCCCGCGCAGGGCCAGGATCTCGGCCCCGCGGCGCGCGCGCGGTGGCTTTGTACAGCGGCCCACGCGCGCGATAGCGATCGGGGCGGCGCAATCCACGCTCGGAGGCGGTCGCCCCCACCCCCCCCCCCCCCCCCCCCCCC